AGTTGGAGCAAACAGATGCTGAGAACCAGTTAGCATGATGAAGGCGGCATAAACAAGCAAAGAGATGGATAGGTGGAAAAGGCAAACAGAAAAGTGAGTTAGGAGAAAGATGGGTGGATGCTGAAGAGAGGAAAATACTTAGTTTTTATTGACAATCTCCCCTCCGCCAGGGTTTGACTCCTCAAGACGACAAAAGGCTGATGATCCCTTCAAAAACACTGTCTGCTGGTAATCCACAGCATTATACACACAGCCAGAGAAGGTCTAACACACACACGCCGCATCCGCAAACTCCGGCTACACACACACATAGCATACAGCAAACATTAGCACACAAAACACACCATGAACCCTGGATACAAACACGAGCCTACGGCAACAAACTTGAGGAGGAAACATGCAGATGAAGACGCACACGCAGAAAACATGCCAAAACATTAGATACATGCAAATTATTTAGTGTAATGAACTTTAACAGCAAACACACACACACACACACACACACACACACAGTGCACTGTCTTACACGCTCCAGATAAGGCTTTATCCAACAACAACAAGCTGAGGGAGTTTAGTCATATCTCTGAATCCCACAAATCTCCTTCTTTGGCCACTTCCTCTGAAAGGACAGCTGATATCTACATTAATGTAACAACAGTGAAATGTCCCATGAAATGCTGTAATAGGAGTATTATCGCTGAATGGGATAAGGAGGGAATACACTTCGCAGCAGCGGAGATTAGAAGCTTTTTTACATGAGATGTTAACATTAATACCAGAATAATAAGGAGTGTGATTTATCCATCCTTTTTGTCTGTTTCAAACAATATGGTTTGGGTGAACATGGAAAATAATATGTTAATCTTTTCAGAACAAAACAGCCCTGGGAATTTTTTTTTTTGCTCCTGTTCTGCGAAACGCAATGTGACCCCCGACGGTCGAGACAAACGTTTGACGTCCTTGATTCTTATTCACGAGGCGTGAATAGGCAAATATAAAATAATCTGAAAGAAACACGGAATTATTAGATTAGTCTTGTACAATCAGAGATAAACCCACACGGTGCACCCAGGGGAGGGAAGGGGAAGATACAGACAGAAAAATATTACAAATAATGTCTGTCTTTCAGTCATTGTGCTGATGCTCTCACAATGAGTTCAACCGTTAAAAGCAGTTTACAGGAACACACAAAGGTTTTGAGAAATTGTTGTTGTTTGTTCAGTGTGGCTGGTAAATGCTGACAACATTCAGCCTCCCACTGATTTGTAGAAGATTACTGTCACTGCCTCCCAACAAACTGGTAACAAAAATTATTTACAATTTTGGACTATTAAGGATGAATTTTCTTTGTTTTCAAAGGAAGTGGTAGCATCAGAATTAGGGCTGTAACTATTTTTATTATCAATTCATCTACAGGTTATTTTCTTGAACAATAAAAACAACCACTTAAAAAATTATCAAAGCCTACAGTAACACCTTTAGGTGCCTCGCTTTGTCCAACCAACGGTCCAACACACAATATTTAATTTACAATGACACGAGACAAAGAAAAACAGCAAATCTTCACACTTGAGAAGCTGGAACCAACTAATGTTTGTTAGTTTTTTTCTTTAAAAATCACTTATACAAACAATTTACAGACTAATTATTTCAGCTGCAAACAGAATAAAAATATCTCAGCGGTGCAGGAACACATGATTGCGCAGCTGCGATAGCTTCAAAGATAACCCAGACACAACTGACCAAATTGAATTCATATTTATTTTTTCACATTTATAATCCTTTAGGACATGTAGTAAAATATCAGCTAAAAGAGTTGGATTTGATTTTCTTATCACTGCCGAAGAAGGCCCGATAAAACTTACTATTAATGTTGAAACAATCCGTCGATTGATGGATTGACAGAAAAACCAACAATGCTGATAAAACTGCTCCACTCTTCTTGATTCTAAGTGCCCTTTAACATCATTGTTACATTGATTATCTTTGGGTTTGTACTACTCGTCAGGTGAAAAAAGAAAAAGAAAAAAGAAAGCAATCTGAAGGCGTGACTTTGGCTCTGGGAAATCATCACTATTATCTGACATTTAACAGTCTAAATGACTTCTCAAAAACATCATCGACAGGCTACTTCCCTTCCAAGAACTGCCAACACCAGAAGAAACTAGCATAAAGAGTGAAACTCTCAAAGTCATAATGCCAAGACAGAAGGACAGCAGTCCTACATGGACACACACAGAGAGACATAACATGCGTTACTTTGTCCCACAGTAACACCACAACGCTAGGAAAACACCAAACAGCCCTTTTTTCTCCCAGTATCCCAGACCTATAGTTTCCGATCCATCACTTCCATCCATAATCATCAACCCCCTCTCCCCAGCCCCTCTAAACCACTATGCTCAGCCCTTTCAAGTGGCAGGTAGACGGGGCCTGATACGCCGCTACCGCCTCTCAACCAGCGGGCTAATTACAAGGGAAGCAGCAACAAGTGAGCATTGTGTGGAGTCTCGAAGACACACGGGGAAAGAAAGTGCTCTTTATCTTGCCACCACCAAACCCCCCCACCACCACCCCCAACCCCACCCCATCCCACCCTCAACAAAAACAATCTCTGAGAGGCTTTGCGGTTGGCACTCCAGGGGTTGGAGAAAGAGAAGAGAAGAGAAGATCGCGAGACGAAAGGTGAAAGAAGTGGAGACACATTGATGAGGGACACATACCATCACACTTGCTCACCGTGTTCGTCTAACACGATGCCGGATGTGCCGTGTTATGCAACGAGGAGTAAAACGATGTTTAAGGAAATACGAATACGCTCTATTGTACTAGTTCATTCAAGTTGTGTTCTCTGTCACAGCATCAGGCTGTGATTAACAGACTTAGGGAGAATTTGATTTCCTACGAGATGCTGTTGTGTGTACATGTGGCTGCCTCACAAACTAATGTACCTTTTACAAGTAAAATTGAGACCCAAATAAGTAAAACTACTACTGGCAAGGATTTTCTTTCCAAGAAACAAAAAGTCTGTAAAAAGACCAAGTTCAAATCTAGCAGCTTCAAGTCAAAGACAAATAAATAATTCAAGAATAAAAGTAGTTTAAAGTCAAAGCGACAGCATAAATGGGGTTCCCAACATTTACTTTGAAGCTCCATTTGATGACATTTTATTTAACTTCATGCTGTACAACTATGATGAAGCAAAGGAGCTACTTTCACAGATGCCATGATGTTAAAATGAAAGTTTATTTCCCCATAGAGAAGAGCTTAAAAATATTTTTTTTGTTTCAAAATGTGGAGAGATTGAGGTATTTTTAGAAGAATTATATTACTAGGGCAGTCTATAAATGAAAGAACAACAGTCATCTTTTTTTGACCCTTGAGTGACCCATTTATTATCTCCCATGACCAACAGCTGCATCTTGATCCACACGTTGAAGAAAACGGTTGGCAAAACACTCCATGAAGTAGATTTTGTGATACAGCAGATTCCTAATTCACTTTGCCTCGTGTCAGATCAGCCTACGGTGCGTGTGATCTCATGCAAACATGCATCTCTGCTGTTTAGCAACGTCTTGTCTGCAAGAGCAGGGGGTTAATTCAGGCAACAGGATTACACAGCACGTGAAAAATGAATTAGGCACAACCGCTCATGTTTGGTGTAATTAGTCAGCCTATCCATGGATATTGGTTCTTATGGGTGACTTGAAGGGATTTTATGATTAATTTTTTAGGGCTGTCTGGCTGGATGAGTGATATTGCATACTTGAAATCCTTCCACGAGTCTTTCTGATGTTTGTTTTAGCGGTTTAACACTCAGAAAAACCATTAAGGCAGCAACAAACCTCTTGTCATTCACGCGCAACACAAACAGATGGGAAACGTCATGCGAAACACTTCGCGATGACGACATCAATCAGGTTCCAACTTCAGCAAAGGCGTAAACAAAAACAGGCTCTTTTTCTGCTTTCTCTCATGAGGCGGCGGCGCTCTTCAGGGAGAGCATGTTTTAAGTAGCGCTTTATTTCATAAGGCAGTTAGGCGGGAAACAGCTCAGTTCAAAGGCAAACCAGACCACATAAGTTTGTGACTGATTTGCAGTGCTGTGACTGTGATCTGATGGCGCCTCTTTTATAAGCCAAATTGACCTATGCTGTATTAAACTAAAGGCACGTTCAAGCACTGGAATCAATCAACTGTTTCTGCTTTGCAATTCGGTAAAGGAGGTGTTTCTTGAGCTTAACTGACAGAGGTGTGCGTCATGTAATCACTAAGTCACATAAAGAAGCATTAAACAACTAAAAACAACCATTATTAGTATCTTAAAAAATATTTTAAAAATTACATACAGTCCCTGTTTGCAGCCAGGTAACTGAGATTAGCCTATTTATAATTTATAAATTCATAAAAAATCTGTATAAGGAGATTAAAAATATTTTTTATGAGAAGTACAAGGCCGATCACATCTTACAGGGAAATACACCACTTATTTTTAGGCTGATGGGATTTAAAGTTTACGAGACGAGATGTACAACAAATTCAATGCAAATTATGCAGAAGTGCCAAGAAAAAATATTTATACCATTATCTAAAGACCAGGAAAATCACCACCATTTTCTTGTCCCACATGTCCATGCCGGCTCTACTTGGTACTATTGTAATCTGGCTACTGAAAATAGCCAGTGGCCACCAGATTCAAACCTAATCCATCCCTGAGTGTATGTTTCTACCTTCTTATTTCTGCAGCAGGGGTGAACTTGAACTGAAGAACATCATAACCATTATTAAATATTATTAAAGAGTTACTCCCTGAAGCACCAAACCATGTCTTCAGTGTTTGAACTTGATACCAAAGAATAAACATAGTAGCTGAAGTGCACACACTTGCAGTGGAGTCCAAAGTGGGACGCCCTCAGCTACTGACAGGAGAAACCAAGAGAGGAACAACAGTGACCACTGCACTGCAGCCAGCAGGAGAATCAAAAGAGAGGTGGACTTACAGATGGAGAAACAGAGCTGTTGGGGAGGTAGGGGTCAGGCAGCATAAGGAACGGGTACCCCGCATATGACGGCGTCTTGTACATGCCTCCATCTTGCTGCTTCGACACTGAGGTCGCACATGGAGAACAAACAAGAGTTAGAAACTCAATAAAATCAAAACTGTTTTAATGGAAGCATTTATAATAGTTTATAAAAGCTACTTTAAGCAAAATATTTTGGTTTGGTCTCTAAGAGGGCAGGTATCAGCATGCTATTATTTAAAACTTGATTTATATTAATATAAAAGCTGCTTAAATAAAACAATGTACACACCCTAAGAGGACTAAATAATCTAATACTTACTCCCACAGTGCTGCTTTCAGATATGCAGTGCCTCAAAACAAAAATAAAACCCTAAAATCCAAATCAAACGTGCACACAAAGCTGGTCAACTTTACAAGTGTTGTAGTTACTACATGTTGTGTCCCTGTGTGAGCACAGACTACAACACTTGAGACAAAAGCGTTACAAGCGTCACCTAGCCTGAGAGGCGTGAACTCCTGTAGCCTATGTGTTAATTTATCTCTCACCACCACCCATATTAAGCATCACAGGCCTCTCTGTAGGTCAGTTGTAACTAGGTTATACCTGGTCTGTATAAAACACAGAGACGTAGACTAAACTTTTTTTTACAGTTCCAGACTAATCCCTTGTCATCTAAGGTGCCAAAACTTCTAACGTGGCCTTAATCAAGGTGACAGAAAATGAAATAATCCAATCACGCAAGCAGAAACATTCAGAGCTGTAAAATCCTTTTTCTGCGGCTTTCACTTTTTCCAAACAGACGCACACGAAACCGCAAATCCACATTTGATGGAGATTGTGCACAAAGGAATACAACATGGGGACATTTTTCCTTTTAGGAACGGTTGGAGTGAGTTGCACAACTTGAGTACAGCCTACAGTGACGCCTGTAATTAAAACGGCCGTGTATACATTCTCTAAATGTGCCCTCTCGTAGGGAGGGAAAGTGAAATTGCTCTGTTCTTTTTGGGTGGTAGGAAAAAGAATAAACCTCTCAAGGACCCTGGTTGACCCCACTTTTGGCAAAGTCTGGCAAAAGCTACATTGCAAGAAATGTCAAGGGTTGACTGTAAAAGAGGCTAAAAATACATTAAGATAAAAGAAGCACAGGGCAGATCTACTCAACATGTCTGATACAAGCTGACAAAAGAGTGATATGATGTCATCCTGATGACTGTATTTAAAGCAAAGAAACTTCCAGAGTCCATATTTTACTTGGTAACTTATTAAAAATGACATTTAAAGAGGTTAAACTCTGCTTTAATGTCATGTTTAGCAGAAACAGAGGAAACCACCACCAGAGTGTCAGATTTGTGAGATAAACTGGAGAGCTGTACATACAGTGGACATCTTTTGCAGTGTACACCTGAACACAACTCTTTGAAGTTGGTATTAAAGCTGCAACACGTGTCCTCGTGACCAAAATACTCCCCACTTTGACACAGTGTTTTTTATGATTAAGGAGGAGGAAGTTGAGCAGTTTTCTGAGATAGTAGTGGTCACACACACCGCATGAATGTGTGTTTTCTTCTTACCTCCGTCGAGATGCTCCCGGTGTTTATCTGGGAAGCCCCTCTGCTCGCCCTGCTGTCCCCGTCTGACCGCCTGCAAGGGACCGACAACAAACACGGGGTCACACACTCCCAAAAAAGTTATAAAAAGGCGAGGAAAAATGACCAAACAACTGTTGTAGGGTGTCAAACATTTAAAGCAACCTTAAACTTTAAGGTGTGTTTTTCTTCTACTGTTGTTGCCCCTATAATAAACTTCTAACAGCCAGGGAATTTTACCCCCGTAACCCCTGAAGGCACCTCGTAGCTTTCTTTGGTTTCATTCAGCAGCTTGTCAGCAAGCGTGTAAAAATAAAACAAGCTTTCTCACACACTCTTTCCGTGTTGTATCCACTCACACACACCCCGTGCCACCTACCGCTGCGTTCGGACTTTGATTTATTTCCGACTCGTTCACCAGGGAGGACTTGAGGTCGGCCAGGTCTCTCTCCGTGAACGCGTTTTCTTGGATTTTCTCCTCTTGCTCTCCTTCGTCTTTGAACGCTATCATCTCATCATTCGCTCCCAGGTCGTCCCCGCCGCCGCTGCTGAGCTGAGGCATGTCTACTTCTCCCACCTCCCTTTGCGATGTTACACACTTAGAAATAACAACTAAAAAAAAAGTATAAATAAATGAAGAATTAAGGGATCTCTGTGTGATATCTCCTCTGTGTGGGGCGCCTCCAAAAGTGTACAAACCCCGACCACATACAGGAAAAAAAGTTGAGATGTGTCGTCCCCCGGCTTGCTGCTTGGTAGAGGACTAATGTTTCCCTACAACAGCAAACAGCTCATTTGAGCCCAAGACAAGGCGAGGAGTCCCGACATCAAAGGGCGCCGACCGGATGATTGACAGGTCCGATGACTTGTTGGGGGGTTGTAACGATTGTTTCGGCGAGAGGGCTGAGCTTCTTAAAGAGACATCACCTCCCTGAGCACAGCTCAACACGGTATTATTCATGACTTCCAGGGGCGTGTTCACACCATCCACGGTCCCCTGGCTGCACGCGGCTGCTGCCTTTGGCCACCAGAAACTTCACTAAAGTTAAACAAATATTCCCAGAAGGCAGCGGTGCCGATAGAGAGGCTGCAGGTGAAGTGTTCATCCTGATAGTATTGTATTGCGTTCAAGGACTGCTCATTGTAACATGGCTTCAGGAAATAGTTTTTTTCTTGCTCAGTTCCAGTAATGGAAAGTAACTAAGTACATTTTCTAATGTACTGTACTTAAGAACACATTTTAAAGTACTTGTACTTGAGTATTTAAATGCAATGCCACTTTACACTGCTACTTCACTATGTTTATTTGACAGTAACTTTACAAGATATATTTTTAACAATAAATTCTATAAAATACAAAACCCAACAGTAAGTAACAACAACAATAAAAATACTGTGTACACATTAATGCATTGGCAATAATCTCGAATTATAATATGCTGTATTGTAGTCAGTGTTGGGGAGTAACTTAGATGTAACTAGTTTTATGCAATTAAATTGCAAATAAATCTAATTGTAATGGGTTCCAGTTGCTTAGAAAAATATGTAATTAATTTGCAGTTACTAATCAAAATATTGGTGATTACAAATGGGTTACATTTGAATATATTCTTTTTTTAAAAAATAAATAAATAAAAATATGTGTGGAATAATCTTTTCCTCTTCTTCTGGCATACCCTATTTTTGGACATTTTTTTTTAGCTTTATCACCCAGTTTAAAACATTTGTTAGAAAATTAATCATAAAGTAATCCAAATTAATAAGTTACATTACTTTGATGAAGTATTTAAAATAGCTACATTATGGTAACTAGCAATCTGTAACCAATTACACTTCAAAAGCAACATTCCCAACACTGATACTATGATAAAATAATATGATATAAAACTCACAGGGGCCACCTTTCTGCTCTCAACTTTTGATACTTAACTTAAAGCATATTGTGCTCATATAATACTAATAGTATATTATAAGAGTATCATATTATAATAGTATTTTTACAGAGTTATATTGCTGAGTACATCATCTACCAATTATTTCTCATTTCCTGTATATTTTCCTTCAGTTTTACTCAGATAAAACTTCCTGTTTACAATATTGAAATGATAATCACTACCTCGTTACTTTGGAGCTCAGCCATAATCCCAAAGCAAAGTTTGCACAGAATCTGCCCTTTTTTTTTTTTGTCATCAACCAGTTTAAAATCAAATTATCTCCAAATGACGATGATCCACTTTGAGGAGCTGAACTGATTTTAACATACAAATGTGGGGAAGGAGGAATTTCCCCTCAGATATGGAGCCAGTTCATTATTGTCCATGTTGCTCTTTGCTGTGGTTTCCCTGCATGCCTCTCCATCTGAAAGTGGTCACATGAGTGCACATTCTCCAGAATCTAAAGTATCACTTAAAGATGAATAATTATTGATCGAGGAAAGATGGAATTGACAAATAATAGTTTCCTTTGTATCAGATACACTCAAATTAAACACATCCTCAGTTTGCAAGGTCCATCTGGGGACTATTATTGCAAACTTAACACTGCTGCATGCAGCATTGGTCCATACTTGTTCCTATACAAATAAACATTAAATTAATAAATAATAATAAAACTTGTTTTAACCTTTACAGCCTACATTTGAGTGCTTCTATTTTGTACACATACCTTAAGAAATATAAACATTACAAACATGCAATGTAGTGTGGTGACCTGTGTCCACTTATAAACTGCAAATCAATGCAATGTGCATTAGTGTCTATACTTGCGTCAAATCTTTTCAGCTGTTAACAGCATGCAACATTTTGGTACCCTATAAAAGTGACGTATATTAACACACAACACAAAACACACACAAGCAAACTTGACTTCACTTTGTGTGTTTTGTTTTGCCTAAGAGAGGGCTGTGTGTGTCAGCTGTGATGGAGACAGTGCATCCTATCAGCTGCCTCTCGTGCGTGAAATCCTGCCCTGCCTTTCTTGTGATTGGCTCACGTTAAACACGCGTCTTGTCATGAGCACTGGATTTAAAGGTCGACCTTTTCTCATTAACGAAGATACTCTCAGAGATTCCTAACTGCCATGCAGCTCTTTAAAGAACCCAAACTGGTATCAGATGTTGCTGTTTTTTGGGGGGGGTGTTATCATCATCAAGTGAATAACTTGGTAATTATGCACTGTGAGTTTTACTCCTATCCCAGCTGTCCTTTTGTGGCGGCTGTTGTCACACTGTTCAGTTGGTTAGTTTTCTCCTTTTGGAACAAAAACCCTCCTCATTTGCATGGACAGAAAAGTGGCAGCTCAGGCAAGAAACTGCAAAATGTAGGACATTCTGTGAAAAACATCAGAAGGCACGGCATGCTCATCAATAACAGATGCACTGCATGTTTTTGACTGGTCCTTACATCCCCCAGATTTTGTAACAGTCTCCAAAACAGAAAAAAAGTGTTAGCTGTTGCAACTACTTGATTTGAGGAGGGGAAGAAGAAGAAAAAAACATAGTTCAAAGATGTAGACTTGAAGTTCTGATGTCTTATCAAACTCGTAACTTGCCTTCCCCTATTTTCCTCCCCGATGCCGATGCATTTTTAATGCTGATACAGTAGCATAGCTGGTCTTCAGAGTTTTTAATTGAGAAATATTTATACACTCCCATGCTGTGACTTAATACTTGACTTAATCTGAGTCGGTTGCCTTGAATGAAAATGATGATCCACAGCTGGGAAACAGAATTAAATACAAACAGAAAATGGGCCCGGTATTTGCATAAAACTGCATATTTATACAATATCGTCGATGCATATTAATACAAAGATTAAAATGAGCGGTTTTAATGTATGCAAATCTAAATTATAAATGAGTTGTTTAAACTCCTTGTTTATTCGCCTTGATTAAATATAGACAGCTGTTTTTCCAGAGAGACAGCACCTCTCCTGCGCGGGCCACGCTGCCTCGTGAGCTCGCCGCGCTCTGATCTTAACAGTTTCCCATGAATATCAGTGCTGATAGTTACGCACATTAATCACATGAGTTCACAGGTTCACCTAAGGCTATAGGCTATAGTCAGCCTGTCTGTCTCTCTCACAGACAGATAGACAAAACAGAAATCCAGAAATGAACACACTCTCTGTACACACACTGTCTCTTTTGAAATACTTTGAGGCGCTCTGACCTACAAACACTTTCTCTTTCTTTATATCTGTCTCTCCCTCCACACACACACACACACACACACACACACACACATACACACACACTCTCCCTCTGTGTTTTGCTACGAGCGGTTTGATTATTCTTGTCAGATCAGAGTTGTATTTTAAGTTCACACCACCCTGCCTTATCAGTCCAGAGTTTTTGTGACTCACACACACCCCGAGCATCCTTTCTCATTATCTTTTATCTCAAACTCCTAATGACTGTCGTGACATCACACATCATCTGTTGACAGGAAAAGCCAAATAAGGAAGCATGAGCAGATAGAAGAGATAAGCAGCCCACATAGAAAACAAAAAGGATGCAGTGCTGCTGTGACCCCAGAGGGCGAGCTTTTCACATACAGACACAGATACAAAGTGCTATATCTGAACAAGACAAAGGCTATGGTTGTTCTGATAAAGGAAGTGTGTTTGATGCAAAGATGTTTATGTTTTTATCTATCTTAAGCTTTTTCAATTCAAATTCAAAACACTTTATTTGTTACCAGGGGGCAGTTTGCAGAGGCATGAGTAGATAATACAGGAACATCTTTTATAAAATATGTAAAAATGCAATGAAAGCTCCACATTATGACACGTAATATTATAATACGTAAATGCAAAAATAAGTCAGATAATAATGATAATGATATGACAGTGAAAATATCAGTGGTGCAATAAAAGTTTAATACAGTATACGCAGCAGTGATGGGACTCAAGTCTTTGCACAAAAGTCCCAAGTCAAGACTGACAAATCCGAAGTCATAAACTTTGAGTTTTGAATCCCAAACCCGTCATAATGCGCTCTTCATCAAATGTCATGCCATTTTAACAACAGAGTGATAACATATTCATTTTACAAAAATCATTAATGTTTTTTCAATTTGTACTTTTTTTGTTAAAACAAGTTTGATTTAAGTTGTTGTGTCTTTGTCTCTAATTTTTTTGACCTGCATGTTTGTGTACTGCAGTTCATTATTTGTTGACTACCATATAGTTTTTGCATGTGAACAAAATTATCTTTGGTATCATTTTTTCTAACTCCCGCTTAGTAACGTTATGTTAGTTCATCATGGTTCTCTCCAACTTGATCAGGTGCTGTCCACTTGGGGAATTAAGTGTTGACTTGCTGGGAATGAATGGCGTTAAATGTTGATGTATTCAGGAAATAAAGTCAAAATCTAGTTGCAAGCCTGTTTTGATTTTGTCTTGCAGTCTAAAGTCATCAAAATTGTGGCTCAAGTCCACACCTCTGATACACAGTATTAAATAGGTAGTTTCATAATATATACTGTAGGTGCATGGTTATTTGATGAGCTTTGATAGGAACAGGTAAAGGAATCTGGAGCAAAACATTTAGTCAGGAAGACTCTCTTTACGCTCTCATTTCATTCATAATTCTCTGACTATTAGTGTCACGTTAATCCAACCAGATTTTGCCACCATCTCCCTAAACCAATCACATCATTACTGTCAAGTTTTTAAATTGTTCCCCCCTCTGCTGCTGTCAGTTGTCTTCATAGGACGAACATGCGACCATCCTCCACCCGGTTCACCTCTAGTCTTCAGCTCATCCACTGCCCAGTCCTGCTCCTCACCCTATCATCCTCATCCTTCAGCCATCGCTCCTTTCACCTCCAC